TATTAATTGAAAGATTTATGCATATTCCTTCATTCATATTCGAAAAGTTGACACATTTCATGCTCAACCGATGCTGCATATTTTAGTGTGCAGCTATGAGACAATGTCCTCTCCAACAAAGAGAAGCGTATCGGCGCAGACCTTCGGTCTAAAGTGTAACTTCTCCATTCAGAAGTGATACACTGAGGTGGGTCTAGATGAACCTATTTACACTTGCACATATTTATATGCGTATACTTGCTCATACCATTATTTTATTTGTAACATCAAAAGTTGCTGAACATGAGATCACGTCAGTGGGTTCGCACACAGCCGAAAGCGTTAGGGAGAGGAGGGATGGGCAAGAGAGTGAATTTTTCAAATTTCCAGCAGTTTCTCTCTTTACAACTTACAAACTTTCACTCCTTATTCTTCCTCTTTCAGAGGAATCCGAGGGTGCAGTTACACAAAATATATGGGAACCAATGCGATACTGACAGGTATAGCCTGTGTATTGGAGACAACCGTCCGTGTTCTAGGCTGCTAAATTTAGTGAGCAGTTGCACGGCCAGTATACAACCTCTCTATCTATGGCTTATTTAAAAGTGTGTGGGTTAATAATCTTTTTGTGTATGATCAACGTCTGTAAGAGTTGCTTGGGTTGATACTTTGATGTAGAGACATTAGAGGAGTTAGAGGTTTATTCACACTACTATCGGGTCCGAAATACAAGATTAGTGGTTGTTTCTTGAATAGCTCCGTCACCTTGACTTTGATGAAAACCTCCCGGTAGTTTCATTAAAATGTTTCCTGCAAAGTGACTGTGACCTGGGATTGTTTTTCATGACACAAGAATTTCATTAAAAATTTTAATGAACTTCCTTTTAATGAAAGCTTTTTTAATGAAACTCCGATAGCCCGACTGTGCTTAGTTTCCTTCGTTTTTTCACTATTTAAACAGTACGTTCTCGGATCCTACGTCACGAGTTAGAGTTGGAAAGATGATAGAGAGGAGATCAGCAAACATTGTCCGAACTTTGGATGTCCATAATGACCAGCCGTGTCGTTAATTATTTATTAATCGTAGGTGAATACGAAAAAGCCGAAGAATATTGTAAATTATTATTTAATGAAATTTTACCAATCGATCGTGATTATATTAGTAAAATAAATAGTAATCTCGGTTTGATTAATCATAAAAAAGGCAATTATGATCTAGCTTTAAAATATTTTGTTAGGGCATTTGAAATTCGACCCAATAATAAGTTTATTTCAATAACATCCGAGAATAACGGCGACAGTGAACAAGCTAAAGAGTATTTTGAAAATTCACCAAATCGCGATGAATATAATTCGTTATTATTAAATGCAGATACGTATAGTACCATAGGTTTATTTTATGACAGTGAAGGTAAATACGATGATGGATTATTCAATTATAATAAAGCTCTTGTTATTCAAAAGAGACTATTACCATCTAATCATCCATCATTGGCTATAACATTGAATAATATAGCATATATGTATTATAAACTTGGTCAATAATCAGACGGATTTAAATATACGAAATTAGCACTTAACATTCAATTAATATCACTTTCTCTGAATCATCCTAATATAGTATCAACTTACAACAATTTTGGACATCTAAGTTTACTTCACGGTGATTATTCATAAAAATACTTGAATATTTGCTAATGCGCGTGACATTTCCTTAGAAACTGGCCAGCCTGGAATAGGATATATTTATTCAAATATTGGTCTCTATTATAAACAAAATAAAGATTATTCAACAGCGTTAATAAATCATAAAAAGACACTAGAATTTGAACTTGAGATCGATCATGCAACATTGGATTTTATTTATTATCATTTAGGCTTAGTTTATGTCGAAATAGACGATTATGTCAATGGAATCAAATATTTAAGTAAAACGTTTGATATTCAAACAAGAACTCAACAAAAAATAGTAATTCGTTAACAGCTGCGAGACTGAGCAACATGGGCGAAATATGCAAACAAGTGGGCGATTATGATATGGCTTTAAAATTGAGTAAAAAAGCACTTGAAATATTAATAATAACATCACCAGCCGAGCGTTTGTCAATTGCATAAATATACTATAATATTGGAACACTATATTCAATTAAGCTTGATTATGAAAGCGCATTGAAACATACTCAATTAGCATTGTCTTATTTTTATTCTATGATTGCCGATATATATGAAAGTTTCGTGGTAATGTATCAAGAAAATGGTGATTATGACAACGTCGTATTAAACTTAAATAAAGCACTCGATATTCAACTAAATATTCATCCACAAACTTATACATTAATTGTTCAATTCCCATTAATTTAATAAAGCCGAAAACGAGCTTGTATATTTCACTGTAATGCACAAAGCCTCATAGAAGTATTATGAACAACTGCATTTTTGATAATTTGGCTCTTTGATCAGTCTATGTGATTGACCAAAAGAAATATATGGCTGTACCAGCTTGATACAGAAACTTCTTTCAACCATTCCAAATCCTCGTTATGATGACTTTTCTCCAACATCTCTACTTTTGTTTCATTTCCATTAACGTTTTCTGTTTAAAACCTCATGTCTTACCGGTTTCGTAGGCTTTGGTGGACGAAAATATTATAGAATACCAAAAACTCGTGTTATGTGACCATAATCAACTTTTTTTCGAAATATGACCAGACAAGAAATTCATCTAAAAGGACAGTGACGTTAAGGGCATTTTTCATGTCACACTATTAACAAACAAAAATTACATTTTTGGAATCAGTATCGAATTCTGAACAAAATGGCTCATTTAATTTTTCGAAAAAACGACTTTCATTTTTGTCGAGAAAGGACGAGGTGCAATAAGAACGAAAATCGACCCTATTTTAAATTTTCTCAAAAGATGTCCAGAATGAAAGAGCATGTGATTTTATGGTGTTCTAGACGCCTCGGTCCTCTTCGAAGTTGATATCTGTAAGACAATCGATCGAAAACAATTATCTTGAAACAATATCTCCGCAAACTCATTGCTATGTGTTTTTGGTACTGTTCTTAGAATAAAATAAGTTTGAAGGAAAGTTAATATAGACGTTGATCATACACAAAAAGATTATTAACCCACACACTTTCAAATAAGCCATAGATAGATAGGTTGTATACTGGCCTTGCAACTGTTCACTTAATTTATCAACCTAGAAATGGAGGGTTGTCTCCAATACACAGGTTATACCTGTCGACTGTGCCATCCATTTACAAAAAGATAACTCTAAATGGAACTTTTTTATCAGTTTCTGTACGAGAATGGAATAGCAAGGAGATTAGAGACTTAGACATATAACGTCAGTCTATTGCTGATTTTCCATCTCTTCACAATAAACTGCTCACATATAATTTAACAGTACGTTTAACAAACAGCTATATGCCCACGTCTTGCAGAAAGTTTATATCTGCACAAGATCTGTTAAGTTTCTTAATCTCAAAGAATGTTCAACAATTCTTGTCAAGATCTTGTCAAGTTTTCTACTCGAATGGAACTGGAAAAGGCACACTGGAGCCTTCGAAAATCTCAATAATATAACCGAAATTCTTATTTTTAAAACACGTTTCAATATTTATTAAGAAATCCATAAAACGAGCGAATATTATATACACAATGGAAACAATAGGACTTCTATTGTTTTAGCAGGTCATTACTTATTGTCAACTGATTTGACAATAAGTAATAACCTGCCAGTACAATATTTTTATAAATTCGGGATTTTTAATATCCTTGAATTTTCAGCTGACCGACATATTGTAGAAGAAGCGACCTATGCTAAAGTATTATACACAACCGTCCTTTCATGTTTATAATAACTTTCATTGAAAACATATGATAAGTTACATACATCATCAACATAAGGATTACTATTGTTCACAGATATATGAGTAATGAATATAGTTTGGTAGTTATAATGAGTACAATGGCAAATATAAGTATAGATGAAAATACTGGCTATGGTTAACCCGTTCATTCCCGATGTCTGTTTAAACAGACATGAGTTAAGTTTATTTATACGTCGTGAACGACGTAAGATATTAACATGTGGCTTTCAACATTCGATAGCCAAGACTTTAAACTATGTTTTCATAAGCAAAAACTGGTTTCGAAAAACTTTCAAATATCGGGTTTTCAAAGGATCTCTGGAAAACTACTTCGTATCTGTCAGAACTAAAACAGTAACCTATCGATTTTTTTTCATATGTAGATAGTCCAAAGTGTTCTGTTTAAAATGGAAATTAAGCGAAGTCTTAGTTGTTTGTGGTTTAGGCGTGGCATCGGATTTCCTCGAAGCCCCAGGATTAATATTTCTTTAGATGTGGCAATCTCAAAGACGAATGGAAACATAGGTAATCGACTACAATGAATCTTCTAGCAACATTTATTTTACAAAACAGTTCCAGAAGCCTAGTGAAAACGTATATTAGGTGTTTTCCAATGAAATGTAATTGATTCGAATGTTTTCTAACTATTCCATGTTTTGATGTAATAACTACTTGTTTCACACGTAAATGTAAACTAAGTTTTGATTGTGAATATTTTTAAAGATGTACGGACGATGGGTTGGTTTGACTGAAAAGCTCTACAGCAATGAATAAATAAATAGGCAAAAGATGGGTACTTCACCTAATATACGTTTTCACTAGATTTCTAGAACTGTTTTGTAAAATAAATGTTGCCAGAAGATTCATCGTAGTCGATTACCTATATTTCCATTCGTCTTTGAGATTGCCACATCTAAAGAAATATTAATCCTGGGGCTTCGAGGAAATCCGATGCCACGCCTAAACCACAAACAACTAAGACTTCGCTTAATTCCCATTTTAAACAGGACACTTTGGACTATCTATATATGGAAAAAAATCGATACGTTACTGTTTTAGTTTTGAGAGATACGAAGTAGTTTTCCAGAGATCCTTTGAAAACCCGATATTTGAAAGTTTTTCGAAACCAGTTTTTGCTTATGAAAACATAGTTTAAAGTCTTGGCTATCGAATGTTGAAAACCGCATGTTAATATCTTGCGTCATTCACGCCTTATAAATAAATTTAACTGAACCAAAATTCGGGAATGAACTGATTAATGAAGTAAATAGCGTAGAAGTTTGCATTTGAATGTGAGTTCATTATGATTCTTATTTTTTTCTTTGAGGATGAAACTCACAGGTCGTCACTATTTATGTTTACGGTTAAACCTGATCTATTTCATTCGATATTACGATCAATTTTTAATAAGCAGTAAAAGAAGTATGTGGTTAACGTGATAAAGAACACACACAAAAACAGAGTATAGTAATAAGATATTTTCTTCAATGAATTATGTATTTATGTTCAGTTTCTGCTTAACCTATGTTCATCTAAACAGACTATACTCTACACATATTCTTTCATCAGCACAATAAAATGGCTGCTACGGATGTCCATTCCAAACGAAATTTTGTTATTGAGAAAATAAAAATTTACTACAATTTTATTCATAGAAGGCGTATCAGTAAGATTTGCATTGCAGAAAAATTATGAGACGCAAGATTTAATTGACGAACTGAAACTTATTTTCTTTTTTCGTGCAATGACTACGTTTTTCAATTTTTTCAGTATATGATACAATTTAAATGAATAGATAAATAAAAATATATAAGACAGCTTCTCTGATCCCGACAAGCCTTAGCTAGAGAGGCTGTCTGGAGAGCTCTATCTTTTTTATCAAAAAACAAACTTCTCGAGAGATATTATACTGAAATTTCACTCCGCAAAAGAAAAAGGAGGTCATGAGTGGTAACGGTGTACTTTTGCTAGTTAATGAAGTTAAAAGTTAATTCCAAGCGGATGATTAGATATGCCTAATTATTGACTATTTCGTACATCAGTACTTTGGAACGAATTTTGATTTGAAACTATTGAAGTTATTCTCTCGGCTGCATCACTTCATCACATAAATACAAAGAAAGAAAGAAAACAAAATATCGTGTTAATGATAGGGAAGTACGACCTTCGATTTTATTGTCTTTCTGCATTAATACATTCCGGTGTGAGTGCATCTCATTTCTATGACAATATACAGAATACCTGACAGTATTGCCTATTACTTTCTCTTTATTCATATGTCATACTTCTTCACTAACAATACTTCATTTTTATAACTTCGACATTTTTATAACTTGCATTTTCTTCACACAACTTTCGAAATCTGGCAAAATTTCAAATTCCAGAGAAACGTCGACACCCACCAATAAAACTTTTTGTTCTTCTTCTGAATACAAATGAAAGTGAACAAATTTTTAAAATGTTTACAAAGATATGTGCTATATTAACTGATCCACAGAATTGTAATGCTGAAGTTGATTTGGATCCAATTCTCTGTGTAAAAGAGCTATTAAAATTTGATTTAGGTAATAGATAACACAGACGTGAATGAAAGAAACCTGAGTGACATAGTTTTCATTTTCTAATCCGTTCGATTCTATTTTATGTCATTTAGAAAAATATTTATGCGAAGATGAAGAAGGCGATGCTCTACAGAAACTGCAGGTGAAAGGATATCAATTTGAAGATTTAACAATCTCTACGTCAGCGATCATCCACCAGTCGCTTTTTAATATTGAAATGCGTAAACGTACGAATATATTAGAACATCTCCTTGAAAAAAGTAAAACAAAACAAAAACCAACAAATCCGCTCTATTCTCCTAAAAGTCTATTCTTGTTCTATAAGTGGTTCGCCTATGTACCGCTATGGAGTTGTGTCTTTCTCGAATTTAAAGAACGGTGAGAAAAGGCTTTCGATGTATTGTGTATCATAAATAACTATATTTTCGATCTGTATCTTT